CCCACAAGCCGAAACCACTCGAGGCCCTGAAGTTGAAGCCCCCAAAATCTTAAAACACCGCCCAAAACCCTAAGCCACTCTAAGCCCTAAAGCCCCTGAAGCCCCTAAAGCCTGACTTCGGGAGGCCACTGTTTGCCACGTCTGCCGACGGGGAGGCTGTGTGAATGGCCTGGCAAAGCACTTCACCGCACTGGTTCCTCGTAAAGGGAAAGGGGGAAGTAGGTACGCTCTAGAATCCCTTTAAGGGATATATCCACGGGAATGAGGTACCACATATCATCCCTGAAAGGGTATGTTCTAGGGGTATAAAGTACCGAGTTCCCTCATCCCCTACTAGGAACCATGGGGGGGGTTACCCTGTAAGCAATGTGTTTATGTCCCACCCATTCAATTTGGGGGGGGGAAGAGCCTAAACCATAAACCCATTGGGGGGGGGGGGGGGCGGGGGGGGGGGGGGCGGGGGGGCGGGGGGGGGGGGGGGCGGGGGGGGGGGGGGGGCGGGGGGGGGGGGGGGGGGCGGCGGGCGGGATAAGCATCAAGCAACTTGGCAAGTCATGTTGCGGGCCTCGTAAAAGAGCTGCAGGCCCGAAGGCACCTCGCAATCTACCTGCATCAAGCTCCAGGGCTGTGCGTGGAAGCTGCAGAAAAGGCGGGGGTGTTCCTGAAGTAGGGGGTACCCTATTTGACTATTTGGGGATTCCCATGATCAGGAGTTTCCGAAGACAGGGGTATCATCTTTGGGGGGGTTCCCATAACAAGGATGATAGTTTTTTGGGGGGAGATTGGGGCTGCCCCAATTTTGGCAAAATGCCCACATGAACGTGCCTCTGCAGATGGGTCAGCTTCGTCCACCGACTTGCCTGGTGCACACGTGCGCGCTACGCACCATGAGCATGGTCCGGAGACTGCCCACAATGGGCTGGCGTTCCCGAACATCTCAGCCGCTACTTTGTCCGTGTTGAAGGCGGGCATGTCGTGAGACACCAGTGGCGCCCTACCTGCGAAGTAGATGTTGGCCCAGAGGTCCACGACTTCGTAGAGACCTGCTGCTTCAGAGCTCAGGGGTGAGGACGCTGCTGGGACATCAGCGTTGAAGAATATGAGGTATACAGGACTCAAAGAATGCTTTTACGATGTGAATGATGTGAATGTCATTGCTGTACTGAGTTCCTACCAGACGCACAGCCACCGGACCTTCGCCTTCTGTGGACCTGCCCTAAACCCTAAACCCTAAACCCTAACCCTAAACCCTAAACCCTAAACCCTAAACCCTAAACCCACCTCTCCGAGCCCATTCCCGGCGAACCTGCATCGGACATCGCCTGGAGCTCCTCTGCATCTGCCGGAGCCTCGATCAGGAATACGACATCCACCTGCTCCTGTCGGGGTTTAGGGTTTAGGGTTAGGGTTAAGGGACAAGGGACAAGGGATAAGGGATAAGGGTTTAGGGGTTTCAGGCTGGCGGGCCTAAGGGAGTGAGTGAAGGGGGCAATGCCGGCTGCTGAACCTCCCTGCAAACCCGACCTTAACCCTTGTAAATCCTCAAGCTTCCCGAGGTCCCAACCCTCCAGCATCAAGCCCTCCAGGTTTCAGAGCTTCAGGGGCAAGCCCTCAACAACAAAAAAAAGAAGCCAACAAAGAACCCCTAAACGCTTTCCAACACACCGTAGAGCTTCCCGCGTGGACGCCCAAAACCCTAAACCCTGAAACCTACTTGGAGGTTCATGGGTAGCTATCAGTCGTGTTATAGGCACCCGTAAATAAGGTGGTAACAACATGCAGTTCCCATACTTCTAACCCTACTTGTAGGGTTACACCCCATGAACCTCCAAGTAAACTCCGAGGCCTCCGAGGCGGGCGTCGCCTCTTTCAACTCTTCTGCCTCGCCTTTGGAATGCCACCCCAGGAGCTCAGCAGCTCGGGAGCTATAGGGTGTGGATAGGAGCGTTTTGATATAGGGTGCTGGTGGGGTGTTGATCGGGTGCTGGTGGGGTGTTGATAGGGGTGTTCATAGGGGCCCAACATGGGAGCGCATGGAGCTATGAGAAGCCTAGTAGAGCAAGAGCTTTAAGACCGGAGTAGGGCGATAGCCCGCCTTCATCACAGCCACCCTGCCCCAGTTCTGCCCACTAAGCTCCAAACCCTAAGCCCGAAACCGCGAAAACCTATATCCTTAGCTCTGAGCCCCTAAACAAAGCAGGGCTTAAGAAGGAGCTCCCTTTGGGCTCGATCGCCTCGGATTTCAGGTCGGGTTGCGGGGTTGGTTTGGTGACAGTTTGGGGTATTAGGGTTTAGAGGGGCTGCGTGGTTCCATCAAGGCCCTGGACAGGCCTAAACCCGACACCCTTGATGTTCGATTTGTTGCATATGTATATATATATATATATATATGTCTAGAACAATTAACATATACAAGTAAGTGATACTATTCTAAATTTGTTGTGTATATATGTCTTAGAACAAATACGACGCAGGCTGGGTGCGAGGCCGTCCTCGGGAACTTCGAGTGCGGCGATGGCCTGCTGTTGAGGGTCTTGGGGGGGGGAGGGGGGGGTCGAAGTTCAATGGTGAGAGTTTAGGTGCTTCAGGGCTTGAATTCCTAGGGTTTAGGGTTTGTTGCTTTTGCTTCAGGTCTGTGGCTCAGTGTTTCGTACCGCGCTGGGGGAGCCTGGGCTGGCATCCCCCGCAAGGCCCCGATGGTGGGCCAGATTATACTCTACGACTCCTACTTAGCTCTACAGCACCTGTGGCACGAAATAGAAAAAAGATCAAGCATCCAGAGCGGAACTTCGAACAGTGGCCTTTTGCCTGGCCGCATTGGACTTTGCGCGGCTTCTTGCCGCACGCTCCTTCACAGCGTTTCATGTCGCAACGCGCATGCCGCAAGATCACCGCTACATGCGGGAGCATCTGAAGGGAAGCATGCATCTCATCAACTTAACTGCAAGGCATGTAGAATCTCAACGGCTGATCCCCCTAAACCCTAAACCCCAAACCGTAAACCCTAAACCCCAAGTCCCCGCATGAACTCTGCAACTCTCCTTTTCCAGGCGAAGTTTCAGACCTGCCCAAAGCGACTGGTCCTCGATGGGAGGGTCAAGCAGGGCTTCTTTACGACACGTCTAAATTGATAACGGTATATACATACATATATTTATTTATAGATGCTCTGTACTCTTGATATACCTGTGCAACAGTCTCTTTTGCGGGCAGACTGTGCGGGTGCTGGCTGGTGAGGGCTTCACACTTTGCGAGGATCTGTCGGCATGTGGGCGGCCTACGCTTGGACCCAGACGGCTCACCAGCTCACCAGATCTCTTCACGACAGGGACAGCCCAAAAAGGCCAAACATCACCTTCTGCCTTACTCCCAAGGCACTCCCAACACGATAGACATGCTCGGTACCGGCCTTCAACCTTAAACCCCTAAACCCCTAAACCCTAAACCCTTAACCCGAGACCCACCCAGTCCTGTAGGCCATAGGCTTCCGTGCAGTATGCCTGCATGTCCTCCTTTTCAAGGAGGACCTTAGGGTTGAGAGTGAGAGGTTGAGAGGTCCATCTGAGCCGTCATGGCTACTCCTCAACACAAAAAAAAGGGCAAGACAGAGAAGGGTGCGTCCTTTGGCCTCTCCACACCGGGCAAGAAATGGCGCTTTCCACATGTACATGGACCCATCATCATGCCCCTCTATTCTGGCAATTCTGGAAGGCAAACAATTAACAAGCAACTTTCATTCGCCTTCCCACCCCCGAACTCATGATTCCAACTAGACCTGGACATAGGTTTGTCTCCCTCAGAGAGATGTTTGTATCCCTCTGACTTCCACTGCAAGATGATCTGCAATGCTTGGCCCGCTGCGATTCGTGCTGGTGCATCGGCAGGCGTCTGTTTGGCCTGCGGAAAGGGAAGCCATGCCTGCTAAACTTGCCCACGCTTGCACAGCCTTCTACAGGACTTTAAACAGATACCAATATCATCCTTTTCTAATCTGCTTTTTTTCATAAGGTAACAAAACAACCAAAACAACATTCTGCTGAATTCTTAAACATGTGCCCCGTACATTGGGCCACTTCAGGTCGTACCTGGGCCAGCACCAGACTGCTAGGCTCGAAGTCCTGGCAGAAGCGGATCCTTTTGGTTAAGAGCTGCTTGTAGGGGCCTTGCTGAGGATGACGTGGCAAGGAGCACCCGATGGTAAAGGTGAGGAAGACACTGCAAGTCCCATGCGGATTATACGCCTTCCCCCCCCCCCCCCCCCCCCCCAAAACAAAATTTCAAAAACTTCTGCAACCAAACCCTCGACTTCAAGAAAGATTCAAGGCTCAAGACCCGAATCCTAAAGCCCTGAAGCCGCAAAACCCCTTCCCTCCACCCCCCCCCCCCCCCTCCGCCGGTACCCCGAACCGCATCTCCTGCAGCGGGGCAGGTGGCGCCGGCTCCCCCGACTCCGGGTCGGGGGCTGCCGGGGGCGGCTGCACCCGGAAATTCGAACCTGTTCCCAGCTTCTTGGGGGAGGGGGTGGGGGGATGTGCTTCCGCCGTGGGATGTCGGGGTAAGTCTTGGAGGCAACATTGGGGTAGCTGAGTTGGCATTGCTGCTGGGCGGCATGGTCTAGGGAGCAAAGGCAGTCAAACATCAGAACGGCGGACCAGGGCATCCGTGGCCGACTTTCGTCGTGTACATTCAGCACGGCAAGGACTCCCTAAATTCTGGGCCACATTTGGAGTGCAGTGCTGTATACATGAACCTGCGTGTTACGTACAACAGGATCCCAAAAGAAAAGGGGAAAGCCCAGAGGTTGAACTCGCCAACTAGCCTTCGGGCAGGCCCCGGTCGAGGAAGGTAGCGCAGCGTTAAAGTTACATGATCTATACATATACATAAATACATAAATACATATATATATATATATACATATTCTATTTATATATATACATATATACCTTCATGTTATACGTTTATTTACTTTGCAATGTTGGAAATCATGATCTAGAGAACTGGCTATATTGCCTAAGCACCATCGTGGCGAACATGTGCATCACCGCTCGCCTGCCAGATGTCCGAGGACCTGCATGTTGAAACATATTGAAACATATTGAAACATATTGAAACATATTGAAACATATTGAAACATATTGAAACATATTGAAACATATTGAAACATGGTCTGGCAGCCACCCGCTGCGCTTTTCGAACCGTGCTTCCGAATTCCTATGCGGGGGAGGTTTCAAGGACCGGGTGGCGTAGCGGAACCCATGCTCAAGAAGCTGTGCTATGCTGTGCTGTGAGACGACCAATGAAGTGCTGAGGGGACGGCCAAACAAAAGGAAGGCTCCTGGAAATCGCCTCAAGGTCGGCAAACGTTTAAGAAGTCTAGCATGATGAATCATAGGCTTTGCTTCTGAGATATCCTGCCGCACACGCGCAGGGCGCAGGGAGATCAAGGCTACAGAAACTGACTCCGGATCTGCATCTTGGGCTGCCACTGACCTCCTGCGCGGGATGCGTTCTTCCACGGACGGCTGATGACAAGCAAGAGCAGCTTGATTGGAGCAAGGACTTCGGGAGTAATCAGAGCCCCATGGTGCCAAAAAATCTAGTGCCGGGCATTCCTGGCCTTAGAGATGCCTTGCACATCTATACTGATCACCCCCCATGACACCCCAAAAGCAGCTGGAGCTCCTCTGGCAAGGCCACCTCCTCTTCCACCTGACGCGGGTTTAGGGTTTAGGGTTTAGGGTTTAGGCTTATGCATCTGCCCCCTCCACCCCCACCCCCCAAGATTCTGGCTGTAATGTAAGCCCGCACTGAAGCTATTCCAAGTTCAAGTTGCTCCACTTTAAAAGCCATATACAACTTCCTAGCCTCCTGCTCAACAAAGGCTAAAGAGAAGGTGCCTCCGGAAGCGGTTGCGCATCTTGCTTCTTTGGTGGCCTGAGATGCAAACTCCCCTTAGGCAGACTTCGCAGGATTTTGGGGAGCACCAGGGTGTAGCAGAGCTTATTTCGGGTTTCAGGGTTTAGGGTTCTTAGGGCTAGCGAAGTCACGCCTCGTTGGCTCATTTATCAGCAGGATTCGCTTAAATGGTTTCGCAGTAGAGCTGAGATTCCGGCATCTTGGCTTCCCCTCCGGGCTTCTTAGCACTACGGAGGGGGATCTACAGCCCAGCGAGCCGAAACGGCGCAGAAAGCTCAGAGATACGAAACTGTGTCATAGAAAAATCACTAGACTCCAATGTCACAGATGACCTCATGGTGCATCTCCACAACTAGAGCCGTTAATGCTTCAGGGTTTATCGGCTTCAGGCTTGAAGGAGTGCGCCCCAGGTAGTGCCACAGGCTCCACGCGCAAGGTCCTGCGTGAGCTCGCTGCAACATCCCCAGGGACGCCAAACACGGAGATGCCGTTGAAAAAGACTGGCGAGCTGCTGTGGCTTTGGATGGGGCTGAAGAGGACATTTGTGCACGTGATTTGGTAGTCTTGTAGGTGCTACATGGTGCTGCTGCTTGAAGGCTTGCAGTGCGATATGGGAGTTGTGGGTCAATGGCGCGGCCTAAGCAGGCTTCAAGCACAAGAACTTTGCAAGACGCATCCCTGCACCCTAAGATCTCCACTCGATCAGAAGCCTTCAGAATCGAACTACTCCCTTCCTTGAAGCTGATCTTCGTGCTCTCCGGCAGAAGCCTCGGTGGATCCAGTTCCGTAACGTATGACTCCGCAGGTTAAGTACTTGGAGGTTCATGGTACTTACTAACCAATTACAACTGTACTTATAACCCACTTAAAGGCCCCTTAAGTGCCCTAATATGGTTACAAGTATAGCTACAAGAACAGTTATGATTGGTTAACCAAGTACCATGAACCTCCAGGGAGGCTTTTAGGGGCGTGAGCTCAGGGAGCTCCGACTAAGGCCGATCATGACATGTGAGTTCAGGGCATGGACCCTTAAACCCTAAACCCTAAACCCTAAACCCTAAACCCTAAACCCTGTTCAGGGTTTAGGGCTTCCTTCAAGGATCAGGGGATGTAGTCAGTAGGGTTACAACTGGGGCAGCTATTGTGACGATTGTTTATAACCCCAACTTGGGCACTTGTAACCCGTCCCATGATCCTCCAAGTAGGGTTCCAAAGCCCCCAAAAAACCCGGAAGCCGAAATCGGAGCCAGGCCACCGCCGAGACCTTGACAGCAAGGCACGTGATCCGCTTGAAAGTGCCTGCAAAGCAAGGCAAAATGAGAACTGTTTGGGCTCTTTCCTACTTCTTAACTAGGGTCGCCGGGCTGAAGGAGCTCGAGAAACCAGCATCTAGTGTTTCCTAAAGGCCTAGAAATGAGCCGGTGCTACACAACCCTCGCCCCGCCAGAAAATAGCAGGAGATTGAGGGCCCAAACACATCTCAGGGAAGGGTTCTGCGGTTGTCAACCTTGAGAACCAGCCCCCAGTCCCCTCACGACTCGACCTTCGAGGCTTGTTGAAGATGGTTGAAGGGTCTTGTGGTGTAAGGGCTTTAGCGTCTTCGGGTTCTAGGAGTTGAGGTTTGACTTTCCTTGGTTGTTAAGGGGGGGAGGGGAGGGGAGGCGGGGGGTTCGGAGTTCGGGCTCCTCTCGTCCGGAAAGGCTCCAGCGAGGCTCGAAAGACGCCGCTGCCCACGTCCTGTGCATTCCATCTGTATGTCGCTCCAGCTAGACCTGTTTTTGAACCTCCGAGCAGATGCGTATGTCATCTCTGAAGACGGGGCGGAGGAACCCGGCAAGGATGAGCTGGAAAATATCATGAAATGCTGTTGGCAAGTATACTTGACCCTTGCACCCGAGTGCCAAGTTCTTCCCGTCTCCCGTCCTCCAGATCGACAGTCACTGCGGTACTGTCGTCGAAGTCGCTGAAAGTGGCGCTCGGTGAATTTGCCAGCAGCCTCGCAGCTTGACGAGGTCAAATCTTCGGAGATATGAACTTGTCGCCATACTGGACACCGATTAGGCTGGCATGATTTTCTGGTTTCGTCTTGGCTACTGCGAGTCCGAGCTCGACCGCTGACGCACATGCTCAGCTCTCGAGGTGAGCTATCAGGGTTTGGAATGGTGGTCTCACGATCATCAACCCGAAGTGCTCTGCAAATCTTAGGAAAGGCTTGTAAGTCCCTGGCCCCAGTGACTTCGGTCGACAGCAATTTGGTGCGGGCGGGTGAGTCGCCCGCACATGGATGTGAGTCCTCAGAGTTCGACGTCACGCGGGGCGCCTGTTTGCATATCTTGTAAAAAAGGGATTATTAATTATGTGTTATTCTTTTGGGGTTCTTAAGCAAATAGTAGATAGAAGGGTTTTAGCCATATAGCTCACATGCCTCGAGCTGACGACTCTGAGGCACCCGCACCTCCCAGGATATGGCGTTGGTAAAATTGAAAGGAAGCCTGCCGAGTGCCAAGGGAGTTTCAGGCTGTTGGGGTTAGGGCTTCGGGTCTCAAGGTTTCTTCACTTGTGCACCACGCCCTCGTAGTAAGAAGAATTGTCGTTGGGCTAGTCCTGCTTTTTGTGCTTTTCTCAAGTAAGGCACCCTCCAAAAAACACAAAATGCTACAATCCTCGCGGGGAACACCTCCCCCCCAAAAAAACAAAACAAGAAACGAACCACTGATCACACATGTACAATCCTGATTATGGGAACCCCAAAGAAGGGTACAATCCGACTTTTCTCAAAAGTCCAACCCCCCCATTTGCAGGTGAGAACCGAAGGCACAAGTCGATTTCGAAGCTTTCTGGCTGACGATCTTGAGGGCTTCAAGGGTTTGAGCTCCTTGGGTTTAGGGGGTTCAGGGTTTCTTGTTCTAGCTTGGTGGCCATCCAGTCTTCAATTATCTTCTATTTCTCCGCCTCGGGCCGCAGGTCTCAGCCCCCCAACACCACCCTCCCACCCACACCCTGCTCCACCACCTCCCGTTCATTCCCTGTTTTGCCACTCCCGCACATCCGTCGAACATTGCGTGTCATGCCCCAAACCCAAAATTTCTGAACGCTAAACGGGGCCTGAATCCTTCAACCCCGAAAATACCCTTACCCCCAAACACCATTTCACAGACTCCCAAAACAACTGCAGCCAGAACCAGCAAAGCCGGAGCCTTAACAAGATTTCGCCATCCATCTGGCTTGGCCCAACGAACAGCGGAGACTTCGCCTCTGGCAAGGATAGGGTATTAGGGTTGGTTTCAAGAGAGGGTTGAGGACCTGAGCCTTGAAATTGGGGCTAGAAGGGTACTGTTGGGCGTAGGTTTTCGGGTTTTAAGGGTTGAGAGGTTCACAGTAGGGCCTCTTTGCTGCTTCAAAAGAGAATAATCCGCCAAGGCCTCGGGCCGAAGGTGTATAGGTTGTCAGAACAGGCACCCCCCTCCTGATCCTCCCCCCAACCTGCCGGACCCCTTTTCTTACCTGCAAAGGGCACATTTCCGTGGGCGACCACAATCTGAAAGCGGACGGTTCACCAGGACCAGAAGCAGCTGAAGCCCCGCCTAGCAGGCCCCACCCTTTCCAGCCTTCCCACCCCCCCCACCCCTCCTGCCCCAGGGGCCGGGCTCAACTTTACGATCAATCCAAGCCGAACCGTCTCAACCCTCAACCTTGAACCTTGAACCTTGAACCTTGAACCCTAAACCCAAAAAAACCCTAAACCCCAAACCGTGAACCTTGAGCCCCAAGCCCTCAACCCTAAACTAACCCTCAACCCTAAACCCCAAACCATAAACCACAAACCCGGAACCCTAAACCCCAAACCCAACCCTTATTGCTTGGGGTCCAGCGACTTGGGCGCTGCGGAATCACCATGCTCACGCGGATGCGCTGGGCCGGGCCGAGGCGGGTCGCGTAGCGTTAAAAAGGGACTCACTCTTTGTTGCTTCAAAAGAGAATCATTGAAAGGGACTCAGCCTACTCTTGGGCGCCCTAGGCTCCTAAAACAGAGATCCCTCCGCCCCACACGAGCCTCCTGATCCGCGGTGGGCACCAACATGTCCCGACAGTCCTGAAGATCCTCGGCATCCTGGGTTTCGGGGTTTTAGGGTTTCGGGTTTAGGGTCATCCTCATGGAGGCTGTAGAGTGTTGCAACCCTGGGCCCATCACTGTAGGCCTTGCGAGGGAAGGAGGTTGAGCACGGCACATGCACAGGCCCCTCCTGACAAAGAGGCCGAGTCCGAGGCGACATTCATGACTTCAAGAGAATCAATGTCGATGACGTTCATGAACAGCCTGGCAGCCATGAGTCGTAGCCAGTTTGTGGGTCCCAAACCCTAAGCCCCCAAACCCTTGGTAGCCCAGGGACCAAGTTATAGTAAGGGTACTGAAGTAGCTAAGGCTGCTAAGGGAACTTTGAACCAAAATAATTTGGGGAAAAAGGGCGCGACTGGGCTACCAAGAACCCCTAACCCCTGGACCCTATGCGGAGCTGCAATTGGTATTGTAGAAAGGAGTTAGTGTTGGAAGTTGAAAGGGTTAATGAACCCGTAAACCATGTTTGGCTCAAGATGGGCTTGAACAGAAAGCCACAAGTTCAAAAAGTAGTGCCTGGGTTCTTAGGGTTTGGTAAGGGTGTGGATTCCTTCCCCCCTTTCCTTTCCCCCTGGGTTGCTCTTATCCGTGTTCTTGGTTGTTTCTTGGTTCGATCTGGGAAATATAAGTTCAGGGCGATTAGGGGAGTTGATTTCCTTCCTTGGTTGTCCCCCCGTAGGTTATGAGCCCAAATTAGGTTCCCTGCGGTTAAGTGTTCTTTCAAGGTTCTTGGGATCAAGAAGCAATGCCTTCTCCGAAGCGATGGCTCCAACTTGCCTCGGATGGTGGACAAGATGGTGGAGCTGGAAATGGTGCAGCTGAGTCTCTGGGTGAAAGATCGGTGTTGGAAGAGGTGAGCCCCAATGTGGGTATGAATCCCAATGTGGATATGGTTAGCAATGCTGAAGCTGAAGGACGTGCTGTTTCTGTATCGCCAAAGCCTGGTGAGAAAAGGAACTGGGACGCGACTGGTGGTATAGATCGTGAAATGGAGGTGACTGTTTTACGAGTGTTGCACAAACACGGGTATCAGCCGTCGTCTTCGACTTCGGGTCGAATGGTAGACCAAGAGTCTCAGACCGATCTGATTGGAGAAGTGCTGCAAGCGGCCAGGAGGCCTCTGAACAAGATCAAAAGGGATCCATCTTCGAGTTCCCAAGGTGGTGGAAGCGGTCATGAACAGAAGGGTGCGGACAGCTTTGAAGCTGCACCTGCTGCTGGATACGCCATGGGGGAGGAGGAGATCCTACAGATGGAGGCTGAGAGGTTGCGACAGTTGTCCGAAGAAGAGGACGAGATGCGACAGGTCTCTGAAAGGGATGGTTTTCGGAAAGACGAGCATCTGATCAAAGCGTGCGATGGGACAACGTGGGAATGGCACCTCCATGAAGATGGGAGACAATATTATTACTGCCTGGATACGCAGGAAAGCAAGTGGACATTGCCGGTGGTAGGTGAAAAGATGAAGAGTGACGAGGTGGTTGGGTCTCCTTCGGGCAATGAGCTGGAAATGGAGGCGGCACTGGATTCTTCATCCTCTACTCCGAAGACTGAGTCTACGAGGGCATTCCAGGGTAGTGTAAATAGTTTAGGTGAAAAAGATTTTTCCTCTACTATCAGGGATAGCGGTCCTAGGGCTGGTGGTGACGCCCCGACCTCGGGTTCTCCTGATGAGGAGGAGATTCCTGGAAACCGAACAGACATCGCTGGAGCTCAACATCTGGATCGGGAAGGAATGGGAGCACTTTCTGAGGGTGTGGCAGCGGTGGAATCGGTAGGTCCAGAAGAAAAGATTCCCAATGTGGAGATCGGAACTGTGTCGGCTGCAGAAGATCGAGTGGTGGATGTGGTACCTGTCGTTCAGGAATGTGGTCCTGGAGATTTGGAAGACGGAGGGAAAAGGTCGTGTGTTGCGACTGAGGAGGTCTCTTCGTTTGGTGCCAAGGTTCCTGCCATTCAAAGGGAAAAAGAAGCTTCTGGAATAGCTGGAGACACAGAAGATCTGAAAAATGAGGCCTGGAGCGCCAATGATGCGCGGGTCGATGCGCCAGATATTACCTGGAGTGCGAAGGAAGCACGGGTTGAGGTGCATATGGTGTTACGTTCCACGGGCGCCTGCAACAATGGGGCGCAGGTCTCCGCAGCAGCTGATGATGGAGGTTCACAGGTGGACGCACTGGTGCAACCTGAAGTTAGCCGCGAGGAACGAAATGACAAGGGCTACACCGGAGCCAATGAGGCAGCTGTGGTCAACGATGGTGGAAATTCTCCTTTGGAAGCCATGGAACCAAAGGAGCCTGCGGTGGAAGAAAGCGTGCCTGCCGTGGATGATCGACTCAATTGCCCTGCAGTGGAGGAAGATTTGCCTGCTGCAGAAGGTGTGACAAAGGACTCCAATGATGGGTCCACTCCCATGAAGGGAGAAGTGTTGCCGTCTGGAAGTTCGCCGGAAGTCGACACCGAGCGAATTACAGCAGATGAGGCAAAGCCTTTGGCGGAGAAAAAGAGAGGTCCTGAAGTCCAGGAGCACAAAAAAGATGAGCTTGTGGGACTCGTGGAGCAGGACGAGCAGTGTGACTCAAAGGTGAAAACAAAGGATGCGCCAGGAGCCGATGATACAGAGGTGGTTTCTGAAGAGCACGCAAAGAAAGTGCCCCGAGCGGGAGCCTTGGAATCACCTGGGACACGTTGCTATCAAGAGGGAGATGAGATCATGGGTCTAGTGCGCTGCATCAATGGGTATGGAGCATTTTTGGACCTTGGTGATTTGAATGTATTGATTCCTGCAGAGGGGAACAATACGTGTCATTTCAGATTTGGTGATACTGTCAATGGAACAGTGAAACTAGTGGAAGATGATGGTACCATAATCTTGGACACCTTTCTGGTTTTGGAAGAGGACGTGGAGGACTCTTCCTCAACGCTGCGGAAGTGGAAACCCAGCGGCTGGAGTACGTGGTGGACGAATTCATGGTATGTTGGTCAGTGGTACCGAGATTCCAACGGTCAATGGGACTGGAAACAGGAGGAAGAGCAATCCGATGAGGAGCTTGTGGTACAGGAGTTATCCTCTGAAGAACGAGAAGAAAGACAACTTTATGGAGAAAAGATCTACAAAGCTCTTCTGGAGAATGGAAACGAAGAGGAAGCCTATGTTGGCAAAATTACAGGGATGCTGTTGGGTCGCCCGATGGAAGATTTACAGGAGTGTGTTGCAGATCAGGCATTCCTCAATGCGGAAGCTCGGCGCGCGTATGGCATCTTGCAAAATGGTGGTTGGAAGCCTGATGGTACAGAAAGCACAGGCTTGGGGAAGTTAACCACTTTTTCCCGAAAACAGTACCACAACGCGCTTTTCGAACTGGCATGCAAAAAAAGGAGATTTTCTCGACCAGTTGTGGGTGAAGCGGTGGCAACGGTGCTGAATCAAGGGGAAGATGAGTTTTGGAACGCGCTTTGGTTGGACACCAAGCTATTTTTGCAGGAGCTTGATGGTGCAGTGCAATCCATGAGCAAAAGGGAGAACAAGCCAATGGAAGCCTACATGGACCCTGACCAGTACAAAAAGGCTTACATGACACCAAAGACTGTGTTGTCACCTGGTTACAGCAAGCTGTGCAAGTTCTTCAATCGGGGAAGGTGTCGCAATGGTGATGAGTGTTCCTATGAGCATCGTCGTTATGGTGAAGGTTGGCCAGGAGGAGGGTCAACTGATCCAAAGAATAGCCAAGAAGCTGATGATGAGGATGGGAACATCGGTGACCCTCCCACAGAGGAAGGTACAGTGGATGAGGCACAGCAGGAGCGGGAGGATTTAGCCTTCCGGGCCAAGTACAATTTTGGCAAAGGTGCATTAAAGGGTGAGCCTACGTCGGGTGAGCCAAAAGGTCGGCTGTGTCTGTATTACAATCAAGGTGGTTGTAAATATGGGACTGCATGCAGGTACCTTCACAACGATGACATAGCATTGGAAGGGACTTGGGAGCCCGGCAAATCTTGGGACAATGCTTCCAGGAAGTCACTAAGGGACGCAGGGTTCCACAATTGCTGTTTCGATTATTACCTCCCAGGACGTTGCCGGAAAGGGTTATATTTCTGCAAGTACTCCCATGACGAGATGTCAGAGGAGCGGCTGTCGCTCCTGAAACACTTGGTACAGGTGGCCAATCAGGTCCGGTTTGAAAAAGAGAGAGGGTGGGAGATTACGGATAGAAGCACGTTTCAGCCACCTGCAAGTGGGGGAGCTGAATCTTCCTCATCCTCGGCACCGAAAGCACTGCAAATGACCAATGTGTCACAAAAAGATGGTGAAAAAGGTACTCTGGATGAAGCAGAAGCTGATGAACAAAAGAATTCAGTGGCTGCATCCACTGGTACTCAGCTTCAAAATCCGGAGGAGCCAATTGAAAATTGGATGGCTCGCAACGCACACCTGTGGGTGTATACCCCTCATGTAAGTGAGGTGATGATTACGCTTGGTGTGACCAATGTGTCGGACTTGCAAGAGTTCATCTTTGTGGAAGATTTGGTTGACAAAGGGATCAACAAAGTGACCGCATGCAAAATTCTGCAATTGGTGGGTGATGTCCGATATCGGCCGGGAGGACCGGAAAAGGCAGTTCCTTCTGATGCATCTGTACGGGTACAACAATCTTCTGGGAACAAAGGGACTGGAAGAGCGGCGGTGCGAACCCTCACTCAGGTGCGTGAAGCTGAAGACTCCGGTGCAAAAACTATGCCGAGAGGCTCCTATCGGGAGCTTTTTGATAAGGTCAGGTACCGTGATGGTTGGACGCTTGCGCAGAGGTCTCCGTTGTGCGTACAGAAGCTGCGGTTGGTGGGAGTTGGAATGCCGCCGGTGAATCCACCAACAAAAAAGTATCGGTCAAGATCAAACCCTGTGAGAAGGGGAAGGCCCTTGCTGGACAAAAAACAGGTGCGACAGGTGCCACGCTCTCGGTCAC